TCATCAAGCACGCGTTGACTACAGCATTTGTCAGGTTCTTAAAGTATCGCCGTAAAATATGTCAGTTTCAGGTAAACGCCCACATGGGACATTACGTAAGGCTTGCAATTGATACGCAAAAAAGCTAAACTTTCCTTTTCTTTACAAACAAGCTTTGTATTGCATTGAAAATACTGGGGCTACGCTTACATTTCATAGCTTTCAGTGAGTTTTGTGTCCTCATTGGCGAGGTGCAGATTTGATACAAGCTCTTACGGGTTAATCCTTGTCCCTGGAAATTGTCAGGTGGTCTCAATCAAGCTTCCGTTGCCTTCTCAAAGTTTCTTCATTTGTGAGTCACGAATGACTGAAAAGGGATTTAATTTCATATCTGTAATAGATAACGGCACGGAAATTATCTTCTTCATGGAGTAAAAAGAACAAAATATAGCAACAACCATGATTTATCGACGAAAACCACCTTTCAGCAAACCCACTAGTACTATGCTAGCTTTAAAACCATTTTCATTTTTTCTTTGGCTCGGTGGTTGTGCACATATTTTTTCTACCCTTCCGGTAGTTCTGGCTATTGGTTTGTTTCCTAATACAAAATGTTTTAAAATGTTACAAAATTTGAATTACCTGGCTCATGATCTACAATGGACGCCCACAGATGTTCCCTGAAAAAATAATACGGGAATGTAGTATTTCAACTCCTCCCTTTTTAAAAAAATGTTGTTTTTAACGTTTAGGTCTGATGAGGGCCCATCCATATTCTTTTTTAGCGCAAGGACGTAAACAGAAATCAAAGTAAGAGTTTGGACCTGGGTAAACTGAACTTGCTTCCGACTAATCGGCAGAGATTCTGACATGAAGATATTGTCTAGACATGTTTGATATTGTGGAGACATGTTTGTTCCTAAGCCGCTCGAGCAGGTGGCTCTAGGACCACAAATGCTGGGGTGAAGAAAGACCTCCAACAACGCGAATGACAAGAAACCGGTTTTTTTAAAAGGGTTACGTTAGATTTGCCTCGCCCTTCCGAGACAACGTAGGTGGGGCCACAAGCTATGAGATTCTAAGTATCGTGTTACTGGAGCTTTCTTGAGACAAGTCAAAAGAACCCAATGAAGGCAGTTTAGGAGGCTGAATTACTGTAAAATCCTAGGGCTGAAGTAATCTATTCTTGCAACGCCTTCCTGAGACGTAGCTTTTGAATACTTTTACCTGGCTAGATTTTTTTCCAGTTTCATTCCTCCCCCACCACACGTTTGCTGAACGACTTCGAAGTTTAGAATACAATCTAACAAGATGCACGCAGAAAAAAGTTCATTTTTTTCTCTTTTTTTTTTTGGAGGGGGGGGGTGAGGGGTGAGGATTGAACAAGCGGCAACAGTGGCATTCCTCCTGCAATGCTCAAAACAAACAGACTTTTCTGATATGGTGCAGAATCTAAAGTTTCGGCAGAATCTAAAATCCATTGAACCTGCAAATTCATTGTCACATTTTCAACGCCGGAAACACAATGTGTACTTCTGTTTGTGTATTCCATTTGCACACATTTTTTTTAGTTTCTCGAATTGTAATTTTTTGCAGGCTAAAATCCATACTCTAAAATCTTTTTATTGGATAGGTCAACTAATTTTTAGAGGGAAGTGTAGATGTCGGCTATTAAGAAAACCTTGTAACCTGGAGTTTATTGGATTGTCTGGGCCCAAAGTGAAAAAAGTTTAGTCGGGATGAGTCTTTAAAGTGTATAATCAGGCCTACGACTGGATGAAAAAACAGACTGACTGACAGAAAAATAAACAGACCAGTAGACAGGTAGACAGACAGACAAATAGACAGACTTGTAGACAGAGCGACAGAGAGGCAGAGAAACAGAAAGACACACAGCTAGACAGCCAGACAGACAGACAGAGGAAATGTCACAACAGAAATCCACGGGTCAAAAAGGGGGCTTGTTGCTTATATGAAATAGTACAGTGAAGGCCCTTTCGTCATTTCCATTTCTTAAATTCAAGATTCTTGTAGATTTTTAGAAGGTATCTATTGTGATATATTATGCTCATACATATTGATCAGTATTTATTCGGTTACATACTGTTTGGAAAAACTTGAATAGAAAAACTGAACTCTTTGAAACTACAAGAAGCCGTGCCTTTTACTATTTAGTTAAAAATTCCGGTATGAGTATACTTCAGAGCTCAAATATCAAAATATAAAGTTGTGTAACATGTACACTAGTACGTAGATTTTCTCTCTAGACACTTGTACTAGCTAAATCGCTTTTTAAAAAGTGCGAATAAGCTAAAAGGCGAAATTTGGCTCAAATATATTGTAATGTTAATAAAGAAGGAAAGCAAAGCCACGAACAGGGATCAATCAATTTCCGAATAAAATGTCACTAGACAAGTTATGAATGAAAAGGTTCAAATTTGGAGTTGGGAAAATGTGTTATGTTTAGTTTTAGAAAGGTTTTACGGCGCTTGCAACTGCATAAGGTCATATTTTTTAATGAGCGCCAAGGGGTGGATGTAAACAGAGGACTCCAAACGGGGAATCACGCTTACTCTTCTCACCTCTCTAGCCTCAACAGCACAAAGTCCGCTTCGACTATCAAGCACCCCGAAAACACCAGTTCACAACAGAGTGACAAACATATAAAAGAAGTAGAGGAATAATGACGATAGTAAGGATGAAGAAAGAAAAAGCAACAGTTCCACCCATGTTGTTCCGGCACAGTATGAACATGACATTGATAAATCAGCCTATTTACAATTCTACTGTGCATAGGAACTACCCCACCCCCTTTTGGGAAGGGAAAATGTGTTTCTATTGGTCCATTTTTCAAGTGCCAGAGACAAGTTTTGACCGCCCTTATGTATTGTAATCTGCATGTTGAAAGTTTTTTTCAAACGGGCGAATTCCTTTGATCTTTTTAGAATAAGTCAAGATTCCTGACTCGAACATTCAACTATGCAATAAAGAAGCTTCTTTGATATTGACATTTTAAGCACATTTCAAAAAATGTCTTTTTCATGGGGTGGGGGTGGAGGTTGAAAGTACAGCAAAAATGTTTAGCGGGTAGGAAATGTGAACACAATTACTAGCTTATTTTCGCCTGACTGCAGTTAAAATGAGTTGAACACAATCGCTTTGTTTACTCTTCTCGGGTTTTTGTATGCGGGTCTAAAAGTTAGATGACCAACAGAATCTAAAAGCTCATTACTGAAAAAATGAAGGTTCCGACATATTTCTTTAATGTAAGCCTAAAGGGGGTACCAAATTTAATTGGAAGGTTAACAGCATACACCATATTAAAACGTTGATCTATTTTGATCAACACCACACTTTAGCCCTTGCCTATAAAATACGATCCAAAAACAATATAGCCCTTTTGGTCTAGGTGTTATGGTGTTCGCCTTTCCTCTTAAATAGGTTGAAACCTGACATCGACGGAAAATTTTCTTTTTAAAAATCTTCCTTCACCTTCGTTCCTACTCTCTAACAATGTTCGGCCATCTGCTTTCGTCTCCCTTAAACAAGATCTGACACCTAGATCTAGTCTTCTCGGAGGTCCCGTGTGCAAGTTGCGCACGTTAAATGTTCCTTTTATGGTCTTAAAATCGATAAGAGTAGGCTTAGGTCGCCACCCGAGTAAAATTTACTCTGTGGAACATATATTTTGTAAGCAACAAAGACACCAAGTTGACCGTAACTGTATACACATTGGCAACCTACTGGTATAAAGAATCATGACATTGTGTAACACATCTACACTTTGCCTTATTTTACATAAAACTGCAAAATAAGCCATGTCATGAGCCTGTATAACACCTTCTGGTTCTGTAAACTCATTAATGTTCTAAAGGAAAAAAATACTAGAAATATTTTTGGAGGTTGGAAAACTTAAAAAGTGAATTGAGATCACAGGCTGCTCATACCGTTTGATTTTTAAAACTCATACTGGATCTAGATCAAGTGACAATACCTTTAATGAAAACATAATATCACACGGATCATCAATATCTATTGTAATCGATACTGTGACCCAAAACTCGTACACATCCGTCTTTGGAAACTTTTTTGTAGTCGTACTAAGATAAAGAGTCGATTCCACTGATGGGGTCATTGTCGACATTCAAATAAGAAATTTAAATCCTTGCCTTACGTTCAAGGGAATAAAAGGTTCTGCCTCGTCAGGCATTATTCACGGGGTTGTATATAGGTGAGTTGTTGGAACACGGGGTTGTATATAGGTGAGTTGTTGGAACACGGGGTTGTATATAGGTGAGTTGTTGGAACACGGGGAATGGCCCTTATCGTAAGACACTTTGATGAAAAATAACTGCATATACTTTCTAAAAAAATTACCTCATTTTGAAGTCTATTTTTGCTATGGATACGTTTAAAAATATTACTATGAAAAACTGAAATAAGAAATGAAAGTGACAGAAAGAGAAAGTTTAATAAAAAAGTGTTTAGCAATCATTATAAAAGGCATTCTTCTTTTCTATAGTTTGTAAAAAAAATATTTTTCAAAATATTCAGAATGTGACTATTTCTAAAAGGGTAAATAATATTTCTATTTTATGACAATACGACACTATTTAGATCATGTAGGTAGCTGCTTCAACCCTTCGTGCCAGGGTTCACATGGGCTGGGAGGAATACAGTGTCCAAGCAGTGTAGATGCAGACACTTGATTTTTTTAAAAAGCAGGAATCAAACCCACGTTTTGTGCGCTAATCGATACTGCATATATGCCGGTAAAATATAATTATGCTTACATCTGTTTAATAGGCATGATTAAAACAATAACACTTGAGCATCGACATTGTGTGTCGTAAAAGTCATTAATATTAATATATCATAAAGTGAAAAGATTCGACTTGCATCTGAAGGCCATTGTGAGCCTCCACTGCTTTAAGATTAGTTTTGACGTCACTCCACGACGTCTGACCTCGACAAGTCATATCGTATGCATAGTCTATAACACGTGACAGGTATAGGCTCACCTCTGACAGGCAATGGCGTGCTGATGTCCAGAGTGACCTTTCCCTCCAGGACACCGCCCGCCCAGCAAACTGACCTGCGGTCGTTGGTCAGTATGGCAAAACAAAGCACACGAGCCATAGTAGGTCACTGACCGGTATATACACACACACACACACTACAGCTGTATTTATTTATACTACTGGCTGCTATTCCAACACCGGTTAACAGTTTCAGGATTTATCACATGGCGGGGACAAAAAAAAGGTAAGACTTTTGTTGGCAGCAAAATGATTTACGCTAAATGCACTCCAAGTGACGAACACCCCTTCTTCTACAGAGATGTCCTTGGCTGGGAGCCTCACATTACGAGCAGAGACCCGGGGCAACCATTCATCTAAAATCAGTGGGAGAAAACACGTCCCAAATGCACGCAATGATGAAGAGTTATCCCTCACGACATTTAACGAAATCTTACTCCATAAAACGTGCAACTTAATGTCGTCTTTTTTATGTCTCTTTTTTCCGTCGCTGTCCACAGTCCTCGGAAACTGATAATATATTTTATTTGAAAAGGTCTCGAGAAAATCAACATCCAAGAAAAAAAGCACATGAATATGATCCCAATACACAATCCAAGCGGCTCACTTCGCTGCACATCGCGCACACAGCGACAGCTCCGCGTTGTGGTATCCTTACTTACTTTACAACTTCCGTTTTCCTGTTGACAGGCAATTAGAACAACGAGATTGCATATAGCACAGCAATCTAAAACATTCTGCTACGACTGTTTTCACATACTTTAAATTTCGACTACAATCTACAGATATGCCAGCCTACAGAAAATACAACGATGTTGTAAGTAAAGAACAAGTAGACTGAATCTAGCGGCTCTCAATGGCCTAATTTTGTACACAGGCGTGTCCCGGCCAAATAGTTGGAAGCGAACGGTCTGACGCATCGTGATGAATTATGGGCCTAGGCCAGATGACAGGACCTGTGTAGTCTTCGTTGTTTTCAGGGATACTTTTTTCTTTTTATTTCTCTCCTCTTCATACGGCTTGCATTCGCCTGCCACAATCTCTCCTCCCCCTCCCCCCCACCACAACACAAACATACACGACCCACCCCTCCTACATTCTTGTAAGTAGGAAATTGACTTCTAACAAGCCGATGAACCCTGTTGGTGCATTATATCGTCTCAACAGAGAAAGACAAACACAGCAAAGGTGCTGGTTGGGAAGAGATAGAGTAGAGAAAATGTTTGTTATATTTGGGGCTATTTCAACCATCTTTTATTTGTATATATATATATATATATATATATATATATATATATATATATATATATATATATATATATATATATATATATAGAGCTGATCCAAGATGCCAAGCAGAAAGGCAAGCCCGTTTATTTTCTCACACACCCTCACACACGTATATATAGATATATACTCTGTGTGTGTATGTGAGAACACAAGGACTTCAAGACATCTGCCAGGATGCCTTTCTTTCTTTTTCTCTCACGCTTTAGCTGTGTGGTGTGTAGAGAAATAAATAGCTGTGTGTATTTATGCCTCCGAGCGCAGGCGACCTCACCTCTTTCAATGGCAATTATATTGACTTCTTTTCGAGATAGGACAGAACATTTTTTTCCTGGGAAGCAAAATAAATGTATATATTTTTACATATTTATACTCACTCTCCCCGCTCCCCAATATATATATATATGTATATATATATATATATATATATATATATATATATATATATATATATATATATATATATATATCAATAGCAGGTCATTTAAAAGTTTGTGCCATTACGTTCTAGCTGACAAGGAAAACGATTTGTTTAAAAAATGTTAATAACTTTCTTGTTTATGATTCAATCAACACCGAAAGCAAGAAAATGCACCCGGATTATGTTTTTCAAAAAACAAAATTTCCTGTTAAACAAAGGAAAGAGAGTAAATCATTTAGCCCCTGTACAGCGTGCTTTTCAGTTTAGATGTATCAGCAAGCAAAATCTCCCTAATCAACCTGTTTATTTGCAAGGGTAGACGTGAAGAAATCTGTAGCAAACATAATTTTCCAAGCAAAAGGTCCATTTTGCAATGGGCTTTAAATTTTGAAAGATTATTGTTATAGAAAATAAGATTTGAATTCTAAACTCTGAGTATCACACGGTAGACAACCTGTGAAATCAACGTACTCTTGAAAAGGTTATGGTGGTCAGTCATTTGATGAACTCTGAGTGACCCCTCATCACCTTATCAAAATTCTGGAGGGGTTTTGGACTTTTATTTTATTGAGCATGAAGGAAGAAAGAACCAGCACTTCTAGCGAGATAGGGCTGCTTCTCAAGACACCAGAGCTGCTCTGGGCTGGGTCAAAATCCATTTTGATTACAAGGCAATCAGTCCCACTGAGCTCAACTGGACTCCAAACAATCGGGATACGAGTCTCCTTCACTTTCACCATTTGAAGTGTTTGAAGTGTTTGAAGAAAGACTTGAGAGAAACCATCACGGAAGGCACCACAGAGATATCTCGAGCAGTGTCAACGCATGATTGTCAGTTTCACTCAACGTGTCGGAATGTGCTTTACTCGAAATTGGAGGTGCCTGGAAAATATCTTGTAACATAGTTTGTGACAGTCACATTCTATTTATTGTTATTGAAACTTAATCATTCAGAAGGATGTTCCACATTTCTGCAAACTTTGGGGTTCGCACTTTTTTATTCATATCGGCGTTATCGGCATTCATTAAACTGGTCGACACCCTTCAATAATGTCTCACGATACACATAATGTGAATATTAATATGGAATGTGAACAAAGCAGAACAATACATCCACAATTGATTGTAGCACACTTTTGTCTACGAGAAAAATTTTTTTTTTAGCAGTCAGTCGTTGAAAAAAGAAGCAAGTGCATTTCTTATCATTACAACTCCTCCACCAAAATGATGGTGGGAAACGATCAATGTAAAATTTTGAAATTTGCCCAGGTTGATTAAAGGTGATCTAAATTCTAGGACTGGTGTCATGGATGACTTTGTTTAGCCTTAAAATGTGGCTTCTTTTGTACATGGATTGCACACTTGCGAACTTATCTCAGGTTACATGTATATGGATTTCGATGTCAGAGGTCGTAGGTCTCGGGATTCAGAAACAAACGCATTTGGTCTTCAACGTAAACAGTTTTATAAAATTAACAACTTCAAATATTGAATTGAATAACAAATGGAGACGAGCAACGGAACACCACTTGTATTGTAACCAAAGGCAAGTCAGTCGTAGATTATATTTTTGTAAGTACGGATGCGTTTTAGGATGTAGTTAAGGCTTTTAAAAATAACCCTTAGATCAGTCTGACTATGTTTCCTTTTAGTCTAACACTTACAAAGCCTGCCATCAAATGTGAATCCATAGAACAAGAAGTTTTGTGTCTTTTGTATGATATTCAGAAATGTTTTTGGGAACATCGGTTGAAGACTATGTACAGGCATTAAATGATAACCTGTTAAGTGTTCAAAATGAATTTTCTGATCTTATCCATATGGGAAAAACAAACAATGCTGTTAAAAGGTATACGCTGTCAGTGTAAAAAATAAACCCATTCATCCTTTGGGAGTTTCTAGTTTAACAAATAAACAATAAGGTGCAATTGTAGAAGTTAATATTACCCGGTTTAAAATGATATAAACAATAAAACGGGGGATTCTCATTGCCTAAAGGTGCTCGCCTTGCACTCAGTAGGTCCCGGGTTCGAATCTGGAGAGTGACGCAACCTTTTCTAATCTAAAATGTTCTCCTTTTGCATCATTTCCAGCTCTCCAACAATGTTCTGTCGTTGCTTTGTCTCCACTTTCCTCACCCCCTTTGTCCCCTTCACTGCGCTCCTGACTCTACTGCTTCTCCTTTGCTCCTTCTTACTGCTGTTATTCAGCCACACACTTGATCTTATGGTAGGTATTAGGTAAGACCAAAAACTAGGTAAGACCTACGCCTGCTAGCCTTCTCGGAAAAG